GCGAAACTTTCGTTATCTTACTAGATAGCATCTTCAGTGAAAGCTTTAATATAAAGTGAACTTGTTTGAATTATTTCCCCCTATGAATGAAATAATTGTATCTCTTAACAAACAACAATTGTTGTGATTGGCTGTTCATTTACATCTCTATTGATCATTTTTATTGACTCGGGATTTGAACATTCCCTGTCGTGTGGTTTACAATTTATTAGATAGTAAATTTGGTCTATAGTAATGTGTTTGTTAATTGCTGATTCGTCTGAGTACTGGGCTTATAGAAATTCCCTGAATGCATTTTTGGTGTTTCCTCAGTCTAAAATCTCTACACATTTTCCCGATCAAATTGGCTTCAAAAATTGTCTGCATACATTGATCTGAAAGAGTACATATCGTTCCTTTTCGCAGGTAATTCATGAACTTGAATTCTGAGTTCAAGGAGACGTCCTGTTTTATTGAAAAAGTAATCTAATCCGATATCTTGCTAATTGCGTCCGACGCATCTGCAGCTGTGATACTCTGGAAGAAGAAGAACTATACTTCCTGAAAGAAATCTTCATACAAAACGGATATCCACCAAGATTCATAGAAGAAAATATTAAGCAGGAAATCCAAAAGCAAGAAACGCCATCCGTGCCAAAAAAGATACTTTATATGAACCTTGACTTCAAAGGTGAACTATTCATTGATGTCCTTAAGAGGAGAATTTCCACTTCTTTAGGAAAAACTTTCTTTGAGACAACATTGAGAGTAGTGTCCTCCAGTTGCCCACTGGTCTGTGCAAGCCTAAAGGACAAGATCCCGGTTCTGACCACTTTTATATGTATATTTCAGTGCATCTGTTGCTTTGGAGCCAGGTGCATCGGTCGTTCAACGCGCATCCTGTCAAAAAGGGTCAAAGAACACTATTCAGCATGGCTGCAGAAAGGAAGTAGTGGCCGTATAAGAAGTACAATAATCGAACATCTCGTCACCCCTGGTCAGCACATCTCAATAAACACCTCCTTCAAAGTAATCTCCAAAGTGACGAACAACTTTCCAAAGACAATACGTTTCCGTCTTCTTTTCATTACAGAAGCCCTAGCCATTCAGTTAAAAGAACCAGAACTATCCAGACAAAAGAAAATTATTCAACCACTTCTAACTCTCATGGTAATAACTCCGTTGATTTGACTCAACTTTTGTTGGTTTGCTTATTTTTTCTGACTACTTAAAACTCTTACTTAATTCTGTATTTTATTTTGTTTCCATGTACACCCTGAGAACAACTGTTTCATCAAACTATTCATGTTATTTTCAAGTGTTGGTTTTGTAGGGATTTTGTTTGATTGCATGGAGGATTTAATCATGAGCTGACATCAGTTAGAGAACCACTGGAAAACCTGGGAGTACTGGACAGCTGTCTCGTCCTAGTTTGAGACTCTTCATCAGTACGCACCCACCGGGATTCGAACCCAGGACCTTCTGGTCAATGGTCTCACGAGCTCAATGGTCTACAAGCTCGCCTTGTAACCAGAAGTTCCTGGGTTCGAATCCCGGTGGGTGCGTACTGCTGAAGAGTCCCAACCTAGGACGAAACAGCTGTCCAGTACTCCCAGGTTTTCCAGTGGTTCTCTAACTGATGTCAGCTCATGATTAAATCCTCCATGTATTAATGTTATTACTTAACTCATGTTTAACGATCGTTTGTGACAACTCATCACTTTTATTACTACCCTCTTATATCAACATCCAGTCCATTTGAACTTACTAATTGTTTTTTTTCGTTTGAACAAGTTTAATGTACACACACTTACAAAACAACCATTATATATTTGCGATTGTACAGCTGTGAAAATGAATTCGCCTCCGAAAAGAGACGCTTCGCTGAACAACTGGTCTTCTCTCTGTTAATCTTCGAATGGGGATTTTTCATGAATCCAAAAAAAAATTCGCACACGTTGTAGTACTTTAGTGTTGAAGAGAACAGAAGAGAAATGTCTACCAAATGTTTTTTAAGAATAATGAATACCTATGCAATTTCAAGTTGAAATGCTAACAAGAAGCCATCCTGAAAAACCACAAGATGATTCACTCTAAGATATACATAAAGAATGTGAATCTGTGAAATAACGGCTAGACTACTAAAACCTTTTGAAATAAGCATAGCACAAACAAGCTAACACACTCAGGAGAAGATAGGACCAGTATCATTTACAAGATAAATTGGATAAACTGTAATAAAGTGTTGGTTTGTAGAGATTTGGTTGATTGGTTACAGGATTTCATCATTAGCTGACATTGGTTAGAGAACCATTGGAATACCACCTGGGAGTACTGGACGGCTGTTTCGTCCTAGTTTGGGACTCTTCATCAGTACCCATCCACCGGGATTCGAACCCAGTGTCTTCCGGTTACAAGGCGAGCTCGTATACCATTAAGCCACTGGGACCCGATCCAATGGTCCTTGAATTCTAACTTCTGCCAATTCACGACATAGCGCGTACTGCTGAACAGTCCCAAACTAGGATGGAGGAAACAGCTGTCCAGTACTCCCAGGTTTCTAACTAATATCAGTTCATGATGAAATCCTGAAACTGTAATAAACACTAAATTCGTCAAAGTGGTCATCCCGTTCGACTCAGAATCCAAGAGCATAAATTACCTGTGAAAAGGCGTGAAGAATACTCTTTCATATCGATTCATGTAGACAATTGTGGACACGAAATCGATTGAGAAACTGTGTAGAGATTTTAAATTTAGGAAATACAGTCAGAGAATTCCTATTACCTCAATACTCAGACGAATCAGCAGTTAACAAACACATTACTATAGTTTTTCGGGATTAGGTTTGTTCGTTCGAATCCTATTGGGTGTGTACTGCCGATGATTCCCAGACTAGGCGGATGAAACAGCTGCCCAGTACTCCTTCCTGGCTGGTTTACAATGGTTCTCTAACTGATATCAATCCATAGTCAAACTCGTAAAAAACATTACCATAGATCAAATTTACCAACAAATAAAGTATACATCACATAACAGGGACTTTTCGAATCTCGCGTCAACAAAAATGATCAATTGTTTTTTGGCTGAACACTACCCATTAAATAGTTTATTGTGTGTGTATAATCCTATCTTTGGTACAGATTGGATTCTATTAGTCGAGTTTGTAATCGCGAGACCGAATAGCTGAGTTGTAACGTCTTAGACTGTTGTACTCACTGGGTGACGCGGGTTCGAATCTCAGAAGGGACGTGAGTTCCTTGGAAGTTGCAGACACGCCTTGGTGACTGATTGTCGTTTATCTCAACAATATGGATGAGCTGAACTCAAGTTCTGTGCTTGAGACAGTTGCCAAGAAATTACCGGTTCGTCTACAAAGGAAGTTCATAAAGGTTAGTTCACGTCTAGAGGAGGAGGGTTTAGAGCCCGGATTGGATGATATTGTGAGCCTGGTGAAAGACAGTGTCAGCCAAGCTTTGAGCAAGTTTTCTAGCATACTGCATCTCACCCCTGGATTAGAGAAATCAGAGAGCAAAACGCAATCATTTATGACGAAAGGGTCTCAGCGAAGCGGATATCGAGAAACCTTTATGGTGTTTAGTAATCCATATAAACTTAGTGAGTGTAACAGCTTTCGTGGGACATCCCCAACAGATAGGTTACAAGTTGCGAGACAAACACGGGCGTGTTTCGTCCGTTTGCGAGAAGTGCATACAAAGTTGAACTGTGAATCAGTGAGCAAGTTTAGTGGTAAGCTAAATGTGAAGTCAGCGTCATCAAGTTCTGACTCCGAACTGTGTGACGATAATGGTGCAGTGAAGAAGCCTTTAGTTGCAACTGGTAAGCCATTGTTGAATAAAGTGTCACAGACGACACCGCAGTTTGTACAGAAGAACAGAGTTACATTTTCAGAGTTCAGTTCTGACTCTACAAGTTTTCAAGGTATTACTAGTCAGAGTAAAGGTATAAAACCTTTAAGGATTTGTGAGGAAGAACCCAAATCATCTACTGCTGTTATTAAGGAGTTTGAAAACGGCGGTAAATTGGATATTTGTGACAATGGTCATGATAGAAAACATTTGTCTTTGACTGTGTTAGCGTGAAACCTATGTCAAGCTGGACATCCTGGCGATTACCTCCAACCACCGAATGCCAACAGAAATGATCAATAGGCGGGTAAATGAACAGCCAATCACGGCAATGATTGTCTGCTGGGGGATTCATCATCCATGGGGAATTCAAATAAGAGTACACTTCATCCTGAAACATGCACTGAAGCGATGTTGTCTTGCAGGACGTTGGAAGTCTCTCAATTAAATTATCCAGCTCAGAGAAGACGACCAAATTAAAAAATTGCTGGCTGGAAAACGAACCCGCCAAAACCCACCGCATAGCTGGTAAACATTCTACCGTCTAGTCACCGACTCAATTTCACATTAAATCAATAAGTCCAATTGTTGTTTTTTTCCGAAATATACATTTTATTATATTTTATCAATTATGATTTGAAAAATTTGAGTAGTATATGTTTATTTTTTTGAAATATCAATATTTATTCAATGGGGGGTATTTAATTACAATTCATTTTTAATAAATATTCACAATAATGAGAAGAAAAGAAAGAAAATTATACTGATGGCAGTTTCATCAATCTGAAATATGTATGCATGTGTGGGTAAATGAACGCACACATACATACACGCCCACGCACAATCGATTAGAGTATGTACGTATGTGATATTAGTAATGTAGTTTGTGTTTGAGTACTGTAAAGTATTGTTAACCCTAATTCATGAAGCAATTGAACATGTTGGAAACACAGTTACTTTTATATTGTATATATATATATTTTTTTTCAATGCTATCATCATTAAATTCAAGAAAGTTCTGAATAAAAAGACCTAAAAGCAAGAAGGAGTGAAAAAATCAATAAATCAATAAACCGCTTTTTTTAAATGCAACTGTTTACATATATGTATATATTCAATTGATCAATGGAATAATCGATATTTTATGCACGTTTAAATTAACATCTGAGGTGAAGAGTGTTGTTGTTGTTGTTGGTGGTGTTGCTGTTCACTATGAAATAAATGGTTTGTTGTATGCGGTGATGAAGTTGACGATGAGGATGGTGAGGATAATGTTGAAGATATTATGGAATGGTGTTGATGTCTACCTGATGGACTTCTCATCAATGGATAAAGCGGATCTTCATTGATTTTTGAATATTCTGATTTAAGATTATTACTACTGTTATTATTACTATGGTTACCGCTACAATCTGTTGGTAGACTTGTTTGTATATAATTTGATAATGAATTTAAAAGTTCTTTCTGATCTTCTGTCCATTGATTTAAATATTGATTTAAGTTGGTTGATTCAAATGAAGCAGCTAGCATAGCGTAGGCAGCTGTATTGATTGGGTTTTTCTTCCAAAAACTCTCATTTTCATTACCACCACCCGTAGTAGGCTGAGAAGTGTTCTGTTCAGTCTGATGTTCATTCTGTGTTATATTGATTTCTTGTCTCGACTGACCAACTTCCGACAGTCCATTCAAATGTGGCATCACTTCACCTTGACGCCATTTAAACAAATCTGATAGTGTAGACTGAGAAGTAAATATTGATTGTAACGATAATGGGAATGTTTCAGTATACGATGGCATTGTTGAGGTGTTGAATACACTTTTAGTAGGAGTCGGTGAATTATGATCCCGTGAAGATTCAACATTATTATTATTGGCAGTAGACTTATCATGATGCTCATTACTATTATTATTAGTAGTATTATTATTCCTGTCAGCTTGTTGAAATAACGTTAATGCGGAATTATCAAAATTCAATGGATGCGATACAGGAATATTTTCTATTGAACCAACTGAATCATTTCTGGTGTTAGTGAATGTTTCAATATTTGATGATTGTAAATTATTCACCCTATTGCTACTATTACTATTATTATTATTGTTTTTATTGAGACATGACCATATTTGTTGATAGTAGTCTAAAACACCAGAATAATGACTAAAATCTGGTGAATTCAACTGTGAATTTATCGATTCTTTATTGATTAATGAACCACCTTTCATCAAATAATTCATTGTACGTAAAAAATCAAATGTTGACAAAGGTTCTTTCTGTCCTTGACTAGACAATGATGATGTATCATAATAGAATTTAGATAACTGCGTTGTCATATCACTCTCCATACTTGACTGAAAACTTTGTAATGAATTCGTCTGAGATAAATACGGTAGACTATGTTGATGAAGATCCATTGATGATTGAATATTCGTCAGAGATGGCATTGTTGGAAATAAATTCGTTATCGACGGTTTCATTGATGGTGGAGTTGAAGATACCGGTTGTGAATGATGAGATGTTTGTTGGTGTTGGTGTTGTTGTTGTTGTTGTGACGAGGGGATCATTGTTTTTGAAAGAAACAGCTTATCATTTTGTATATTTACATCTTTACCAGGATTTTGTTTTTTCCATTTTGTACGTCTATTCTGAAACCATATTTTCACTTGTGTCTCTGTTAAATTCAGCGATAGCGCTAGATTTAAACGTTCACATACAGATAAATAACGTGTCATTTTAAATTTATTCTCTAATGTTACTAATTGTTCATAAGTGAAAGCGGTTCTTGCACGTCTTGGTTTCATATTTAGCTCATTTGTATTTTTATTATCATTATTATTTGATTCTGTAGTGTTAGTAGATTTCAAAGTTTTTTTAACACTATAACTCTTAAGATTATCTGAATCATAATCACTTTCTCTGTCCTCCTCATCTTCCTCATCATGTTCAACTTCGTCTTCATCACTTTTATCATCTGGATCGTTCATTTCTTCATTCTCCTCTCCAGTATCATCGTCAAGTTCATACAAATTACAAGTATCAACACTATTATTATTATTATTACTATTGATATTATTATATTGATTATAATTTGAATTTATCTTATCGATCAATTCTAACTGGGATGCATAAGAAGGATTAAATCGATATTGATTTTTTGTATTTTGTCCATTTAAATAGTCATATTGTTGATCTTGCTGATGATTAGGTTGGTGTAGATGATTTTGTTGTTTGTTTAAACAACATTCATCATCACCACCGTCATCATTGTAATCTAAAGTTTTATTTTCATCATATTTTCTCTTTCTTTCGGACAATTTATCTTCTACAGATCTACAGAATTGTATAGACTGTTTAGATTCATTTGTAAGCATTTCACGAGAACGTTTAATTTTTAAATCATTCATATTATTATGGTGTAAAGTGTTATCAGTGCCAGTTAATCTACGTTTACATGATTTAAAATTTAAATTTATATCTTTAATGTTTTGTATTGATTGATGATTAGATGATAATGATGATGATAATGGAGGTGATGTACTTGCAAATTGATGAGATGTTTGAAGTTGATTTGAAGATAAAGAAGGCGAAGAAGAGATAGCGGTAGTAGTAGTAGTTGGAGGAAGAGGAGAGGGAGGTGATGACGAATTCCTTTTCAAAATATTATAATTGATTGAATCAGTGATTGATTTTTGTTGATTAGATTGTGTGAAAAATTGATTTTCACCTGAAAAATGAAATAGGAGAGAGAGAAGAAAGGGAGATTAAGTAATATTCAAAGTGGAAAAAGGAGGCATACTGGATGAGTGCCTTCAGTGGTGGTGGTGGTGGTGGGGGGGGGAGTTGCATGTCTTCACTCCATGAAATAGGGTCAGACTAGGAAGTGGAAATTTTAGTTAGTTTAACTAGGAGTAGTTGGGAATCTACATGAGCTGCATTCATAAATTGTCTACAAACTGATTAAAAAATGACTATGATATATTATTATTATTATTCAGGTATTGGTTTGTAGGGATTTGATCGATTGGTTTCAGGGTTTCATCATCAGCTGACGTCACTTTGAGGTCCAGTGAAGAACCAACAGGGAGTACTGGACAGCTGTTTCGTCTTAGTCTGAGACTCGTCATCAGTACGCGCCAATTGAGGTTCGAACTCAGGGCTTTCTAGTTACATGGCAAGTTCGTAGATCAATAAGCCACTGGGACTTGCAAACCAAAGCTTGAATATCAATATGACTCCCACTATTGACTAGCCTTATTCAGATAGATGGTTATCTGGGTTCTTGTTGGGAAGTCGAGACCAACCAGTGGGGTATAGCAGGTTGGGTGTGAGGACAAACACTTGCCAGCGATGATACTGTCTGGTGGTCGCGCTGTATCATGAATTGGCAGAAGTTGGAATTCATGGGCTGGTTGACCATTGGATCGGGTCCCAGTGGCTTAATGGTCTACGAAAAAGCTCGCCTTGTAACCGGAAGGTCCTGGGTTCGAACCTCACTGGATGCGTACTGATGAAGACTCCCAAACTAGCCGTACGAAACAGCTGCCCAGTGCTCCCTTCAGGTTTTCCAATGCTTCTCCAACCGATGCTGTTTCATGACGAAACCCTGTACCATATTATTAGTGTTACTCCTTTGGGTTCCAAGGGGAACAAAGGGCTGTTGTAGCGCGTCAGCATTTCACTCTGTTCTCTTCTATCTTTTTCCCCTGATTCCATGATTACCAGCAAGTTCTCATTTCTTTTTCACATGACATCCTCGATTTCACTCTCCAACCAAAACTGAACTCGTCGGTGGCTTCCGGTTCAGGTTCCACTCTAGGACCTGAAATATAGGTTTCATATTGATTTTTTCCACATCTTAAGGCTTAGTAGCAATTTTTTTGTGTGTCCCTGTTACATCTTTGTCCTCACTCAGTGGTCAAACAGTAACGTTTAATCCTAAATTGATAATATATTTGTCAATATTGACACATTTTATTCTGAATGAAGACCTTTGATTCGCTTATAAAACTCCAGTGATCATTAAAAGGTAGATTATTGAAGCGCCTCATCTTCATCTTCAGGCTCTACAGTTATACACATATCCTCAATATTACCTGAATGATAACTTTGTATGCATAAACTTTTCTAAGAATTTAATCATTCAGCCTCGTTAACATTCCCTTTCCAATGTGCTTTAAAAATAAGATGGCAGGGGGGTAAGGCTATATGTGGTTCATACTAGATCATCTATTCGACGCGGATCATAAGACCAACACAGAGTGATCCTCTCCCCCTGTCATTTACAAAAAGAGGCTAAACTTTGAAATTAGGCAAACAGCAGAAGCGACAGGAATTCGAATGAGAATGTCTACATTATTCATTCAGAAGAATGTGCCTGTGTACAACGCCTGTCAAGAATCCAACAAAAAAAACCAATATCGTCTGATTTTAATCCATAACTATTCTACCTAGATATCCTCCTGGTTTATATTTATCTTAGATCATAGAGTAGTTAATTAGAATAACACCAAGAAACTAATATACTACTTATTGATGGGGATGGGTAGTAGTTGCACACCAACACTCATATCATCATCAATCAGTACTGCTTGCTAACCACCCACCACATTACCGAGATCTTCTAAACACCGGACGACCTCATCAGAAGTGTACCCCGTTTGGACTCAGCTAATACAGAGAGAGCCTAACTAGTTCATACCACACCCAACTACCAGCTAGCTACTCTATTTCAATGAAATGGTAATACAATTAGTCAAACTCACAGTATCCAGCGTACACATTTCAGGGCCATCATCTCTCACTGAGATGTCGATCTATAAGTAACGTGGCTTTGAACTGTCTCAACGCAATGATGCATATAATACCCCAACGTTTTCGCCTATTCAACTGTCCATGTTATTTATGAACACTGAGTCAACAAGTTGTGTTACACTTAACTCATATCCGAATGAAGCAAGAACAACAGTGGTGTGTGTGTGTGTGCAGAATAACATTGTGCCGTCCTTTGTTTATTTCGTCGGCTTCTCATCAGCTGCTGATTGCAGCCCAAAGACATTATTAAGTTTGTGTACAGAAAGAATATTTGGTGTTCATACCCACACAGACAGAGTTCATTTTTAAACAAAAAATCAATATAGACCAATTGGTGACACCATAAATCAAATTTACAATTGATCTCAAGCAATCAGCAAGTACACTTACTGCCTTGATTAACATTCATGGTATCACAGACTGTAATGACCTGAAATAATTTGGCTTCTAAAGAAAGGAAAGTATGATGAACTTTCATCCCTCGAATTAAGTACTTTGAAAATTATTATCTAATTTACAAAAATAGGGATTTATTTTGTGAAATGTAGTCGAGTATAAAAATCTATGAGTTGAGTAAAGTACGGAAGATTTGAAGAATCAAATATCTAACAAATCACAGTGGGAAAAAAAGACCATCTTCATTCAATTTGATTTGAAAGGTGCTGATATTGCAGGAATAATCAGCAGAAGGTTGAATATGACACTAACCAGAGCCTATCCTGCAGCAAAGTTGGTTCCCGTCTGTTGGACAACAAACTCTTTAATACAATCAAAAGTTGACAGGTACTCTTCTCATGTTAACTCCAACTGTGTATAAACATTTACATGTACCTATGGGAGTGGTTACATTGGAAGAAGAGAAAGTAGGACATATATATATATATATATATATATATATACTAAAAGTCTACGTCTCAAGAGAACAAATGCTTTCAACAGTGCCATTACTAGGTATTTCCTTGATACAAGTCATGAGATGAACATCGCAAGATCGTTCAAAATTATCAGTTAGTAAAAGAGTTCACTTTCTCCTCAACTTTGCCAAAGCAATCTCCATCAAGCGCTTGAAACCCAATTTATGTCTGTTCAGAAAGAAGCGGTTATCAATCTTTCTTTGGCCTCTCTTTCATTTGATTATATAATGCCTAAAATTCCATTGTGTATGATTATTACTGTTTAAGGTAAAGGGATTATTATTATTATTACTACTGTTATTGTTACTATCATTATATACATATATTGATTTTTTGTTTAAAAATGAACTCTGTCTGTGTGGGTATGTACACCCAAAAATTCTTTCTGTGCATAAACTTAATAATGTCTTTGGCCTGTAATCAGCAGCTGATGAGAAGCCAACGAAATAAACAATGATGGCACCATTTTATTCTGCACACACACACACACCACTGTTGTTCTTGCTTCATTCGGATATGAGTTAAGTGTAACACAACTTGTTGACTCAGTGTTCATAAGTAATATGGACAGTACTCCCAGGTTTTCCAATGGTTCTCTAACTAATGTCAGCTCATGATGAAATCCTGCAACCAATCAACCAAATCCCTACAAATCAACACTTAAATATCGATGAGATGCTCACTGGCGACTTGCCCTATTCAGGTATGTAGTTACCTGGGGTTCTAGTGGGAAGTCGTGACCAGTAGGGTGCTGCAGGTGGGGGGTGGGGACAAATACTCGCCGAAGACATTGTCCAGGGGTCGCGCTATGTCGTGAATTGGCAGAAGTTAGAATTCAAGGACCATTGGATCGGGTCCCAGTGGCTTAATGGTCTACGAAAAAGCTCGCCTTGTAACCGGAAGGTCCTGGGTTCGAACCCCAGTGGGTGGGTGTGTACTGCTGGAGACTCCAAACTAGGCTGGTGAAACAGCTGTCCAGTACTCCCTGTGGTGGTTTTCCAATGGTTCTCTAACTAATGTCATCTCACGATGAAATCCTATAAGGAATTGACCAAATCCCTACAAACCAACACTTCAGTAATATGGACAGTTGAATAGGCGAAAACACTGGAGTATTATATATATTCATGTATTGGTTATATACATATATCATTGTGTTGAGACAGTTCAAAGCCACGCTACTTATAGATCAACATCTCAGTGAGAGATGATAGCCTCGAAATGTGTACGCTGTATATTGTGAGTTTGATTAATTGTATTACCATTTCACTGGAGTAGAGTAGCTATCTGTGAATTGTGTGTGATTCGAACTGACTTGGTTCTCTCTCTCCCTGTGTGTGTGAGAGAGAGAGAGCTGAGTCCAAACGGGGTACACAGCTGATGTGGTCGTTCAGTGTTTAGAAGATCTTGGTAATGTGGTGGATGGTTAGCAAGCATTACTGATTGGTGTATGAGTGTCGGTGGACAACTACTACTCATTTCAGTCAATCAGTCGTATGCAGTTTTATGCAGAATAACATCAACACCACCACCACCAGCGCCGGCTACAACGACAACAGCAACAAAAAGGACAAAAATAGGAACAACTAAAAGAAAACAAAGTCTTAACATTCTCACAGCATGTCTTCTGCATAATGTCCGTGTCAAAATAATAATAATAATAATATGGTGATAATTATCTTGGCACAGGTGGGAGAGAGCGAGAGAGAGATACGGGATTGGTTTATGACGCGAGTGATAAACAACGTTTGCATGCATATGTCTGCCTAAACTGCAATACTGTGTTATTATTGCTATCATAAGTAGTAGTAGTAGTAGTGGTGGTATTAAGTAGTATGTACGTTAGTAATGAAAGTAATTTCTATCCTTCTTTTTACACACAAACACACAATATTAATGGTGACTATAGGTTATTTATCATTATGCATGTGTATAGAATGCTGGCCAGATGATGCTAATTAACCCAAATATTCAACAAAATAGATGAATGACGATGACG